TTGTTTAAGTGTTTTAAAGTGTGTTTTTTCTCTTTTGATGAATTCAGTCATGTGCCCACAATTAATTGATCACTGGGTGGTGACGAATGTCATGTGTGTCAAGTCCTTCTTAGTGCAGATCGAATGCTATCGACCAAATTCCAATGTGGCCACTAGTCTAGATGGCTCGACATTGCGTGCACTATGTTGACTACCTCCAACCACCATTCTAAGTCATGTAGCATCAATCATTCAAAACATCTTAAATGTTATTGGTTAGATTATCTAGAAATTTTAACGAATAGCATAAAATAATGTTTATTTATTTATTTGTATCAAAAGGGCTTTTGTGGATATCATAGTAATTTCAATAGTTGAGAACATGAGTCAGTTGAAACTAGACCACCATGGAAAACTCGGAAGCACTGGACGGCCGTTTCGTCCTATTGTGGGACTCCTCAGCAGTGCGTACCCACGATCCCGTCTCGCAAAATTCGAAATCAGAACCTAGCAGTCTTGCGCACGAGCGCTTAACCACTAGACCACGAAGCCGGTATTCAACGGTGTTAATATTTAATTTCAAATAATCCACGAAATTGAGCGACACATCCACCATTGTCTTCAGTGAATTACTATCTCACAACTAGCCCAACTGAACTCGACTGGACACTGCTTCCGTCCAGTGCTTCCAGGTTTTGCATGATTATCCAGTTTCAACTGACTCATGATCTCAACCATCGAAATTATTTATTTGTGTTCCTAACATCCACTGAAACAGCAAAATTTAATTCTATAAATCAAAAGAAAAAAAATGAATTTCACGTACTACAGATTGTAAATAACTCGCTGTATTATTTACACAGTTTGTTTTAAACTAATTCATATATTTTTCAAAAGATTTATTCAAAAATTTGATAATCTGAATTAGAATCAATCTTAATGGTACAGATTCATTGAGTTTTTTGTTTAAAATTATTTTAAGAATTCATATCTTCTCTTAACCTAATCATTTTATAGGACATTTATACTACTTCCAATACATTGGTATACATGTTGATAAGTTCATTATTCAGTCAGTCAGTCAGCTACAACGTAGGGACTAGACACATTTGTGCATCGGTCCAAGTTGCCATACCTCATTAACACAACAAGATGGACACCGGATTCATAAAAGTAGTTAATTCAGAGGTGGCAATATACAAAAGAAAGATTGCGTATAAGGATATAGTACAGGAAGAAGGATTTAGTACGTAGAAAAAAAGATATGAAGCGATGTTAATCTCTTAGTTTAAGAGAAGACAGAGAGTGTATACGCCTACGCCATTGTGATCGATTCTGAGCCATGTCACCAAGAGTCTCCAACCATTAGTTACGATAGTCACGCGGACTCCAACCAAGTGGTCTGCATCTACCAACATGACTCAGACTAGAAGTTAGAGACTTTATGGACTGATGGCATGTTTTCGTTTGACCACCCCCAAATTGTTGTGTCGTTGTGGCGTAGCAACTTGGGCAAAAATGCATAAAATGATATATATATATATATATATATATATATATATATATACCTTTTATCAAGGTGTAATTAGTTGAAACGACATACCACTATATGTGATGAGTTGACCAATATGGTTATTAAACACTTATGTTAGCTTTTGTATTTTCACACATTTGTTTCCTGTGGTGATCTTTATGATTGTATTAATACATATTTCTAACAAATTTCATCATTTAATAAAACTTTGATATAAGATCAAGAGTGATCAATTAACATATTTCATCTTAAATTGTACTATGTTGTATGTTTTCTCTTGATCATAGATACCAGTGTACCCTACCGGTGACCAGTCACCTTTCAAGCACATAACCGCCTGTTTTTCAAGCACCATTGCTATATATATATATATGATAGTAATTAAATCTAAATTCATAACAATGTGTAACACCACAACCATGCAGAGACTATGATAAGACAATGTGACATAATACATAGTGTGTGTGTGTGTGAGCGCTACAATCAATAACACGATCTATAGGGATTCATTTTTAACTTTACTCAATCTACACTGTTCATCTATACAATTTTACGATTGTTATCATGTAACTTGGGACATCAATTTTTATTCCCATTTATTTTCTTCGGGAACTTTTATATATGGTAACAAAAATCATCTTCCACTTTAAGACTTTATATAATTCAATCATACCTATGATCATCATGTATTCTATGAACTTGCATCCATATGATATCAATTATATGTACCTTAGTTTTGGAATAAGTACCACTACTTTTTTTAAGCTAAAAAGAAATAGAAAACATCTGAAGAGAAACCATAAAATAAAATGAATGTAATATTATTCTGTTACTTATATTATTCAATATTTAGTAATATATATATTGCGTCGAAATTTCAAACTATGATAGACAAAACAAATTTTAAATTATATCGAGTGCCGAAACTATTAGAGTATATATAAAACAGTCAGTCAGTAACAACGTAGAACTTCGTACGTACATACATCAGTTCGAGTTGCCATACCACATTAGCACACAGATACAATTGTCGATTCAAATACCGTAGTGGTACAGGTAGTAAAAGTATAAGCAGTAATCGGAAACATTAGGCTTTGGAGATGTTATTCAAGGAGTATAATTCAGTGAAATAAATTTGGGAAGAGAAAAAAGAGACAAGGAGGATTCAGGAGATTAGAGTTTGGGAGAACACAAAGAGTGGATGCACCTGCGCCAATGCAAACAATTTTGAGCCATGTCATTCAAGGTCTCTAACCATCGGTTGCTATCATCTCGCGGTCCCCAACCAGTTAGTCTACACCTACCAACACGACTCAGTTCACTTGTCAGTGACTTCATGGACTTGTGCCATGTTTTGGTCTGACCGCCCGTAGCTTTCTTCCAATCTACTCCTACACCATAAATCATCGCTTGTCGGGGCAGTCGGTGGTTGGACATACGTAGCACGTGTTCCAGCCATCTCAACTGATGAAGTTTCAATACTTCATCGATCGATTTGCCATTTTAACAACTGTATTGCTTACTTGGTGGTCCCAGGATATACGAACAATGCTTTGATGACACCTATGATCGAATACTAGTAACCTACAAATATCCTCTACTCTTACCGGCCATGTTTCACTGCCATGAAGTAGGACGGAGCAAACTGCTGCGTCGTAAACTCGTCCTTTGGTTGGTAGACGGATATCTCGCCTACGCCATAAATGACGTAAGTTGGCAAAAGCTAATCGTACATAACAAAAACAGTAATAATACGTGTAGATATATAACGAACATACATTAGTCTTATTTACGAAGGGCATTTAAGTACTTGATTCTCCACATATTGAAGTGTAGCCAAAAATAGTTTACTTAATAACTTATCGTGTATTGAGTTTCATTTATTTCAACCAATTATAAAAACAACTTTTTTTATGAAACATAAAACAGTAATATCAAAATTAAAAATTCAAGAAGAGGAAACGATAAAATAACTGATGAAATAGAGAGTGGTTATTATTGTCAGTAGACAAGAAAAAAACAAATATTAAATTATAATGAGTAACTAATTCACTAGGGATATAAATCAGTCAGTCAGCCACAACGTAGGACCAAGCACATATATTCTGACCGTTGTTGCTACCTTGATGTGGTGGTCGAGCTTGCCTATCGTGATGAAGCAACCGACCAATACTGGCCGGAACAACCGTTCCTCAAGGTCTTACCATGTCAGACAGGTCGGTTGAAGAGCGGTAAGACTAAAAGCAACAAACCAAATGTCGGAAGGCGAAGTCGCATTGCTGACTGTACAGAGGTGTGGCAGCAGTAAGGTGTTTCCTTCAGACAACCAGCATGACAGCGATGCTGTCTTCCCACAAGGAGGGGTGGGGTTAGAAAAATTCGACCCTAAATATACACACCTCGCCTTATCCCACAGATATCCGTCTCCGGCGGTAAGTTCTCAACAAGTACGGAGCTAACACAAAAATTACTAACAAAAAGGTGGTATGTGACCGACCTCAAGCAGTTGTCCCTTGAGCACTGCGGTCACGCTCTCAGGTCTCTAAGATCATCTCTAATCCAACTTCCTTTTCAGGTACCTTCAGAAGAACCCTTCCACGGTGTGGGCAACCGGGAATTGATAACCACCCTCATACCTCTAACAGTACTCAAGACCACTGGATATAAATCACACTCTATGTGTGAGAATTGATGTCACTACTCGGTTATCTAAATCGAAGTGGAGAGAAGTTTGAATGTGGGCTTCAGTATCAAAAGACTGAACACCTCAACCATAGAACAATCATTACATAATAGTATTCAATAGTTGAAAGATATTAAATATATGTGTTATAATAATTAATTTATGAAAAATACATCGTCATATATCTGAAAAACATGAAATTCTGGCGTTCAGTTTGCTATTACCTTCAATAAACCAAGGACTTCATAAACTTTTGATTGCCTTTATGTACTACTATCGTATTTGTACACCAAGAGATGATGTAGTAAAAAGCTTACTTATTTACACAAAAAGCTAAATAGTGAGAGATAACTATGGTAGCAAATAATTAAAAATCAATGTCAACCAATTATCGAGAACAAATTTAAGTACCTAGCTTTGAACAATACTTTACATAATGAATGTGGGGTTCAGGCCATCAACTTAATTGTTGGAAACTAAGTGCTTCAATCAGTTGTACCTATTATTTTACTGACGAGTTAATCTGGAAATAGTAAGTAATGTAAATATTATATCTTTTGTCATATTTAGTAGTTGACTGGATTATAAAACAATTTTCAAGCTAGTAGATAACATATCACGGAATAAGATGGTCTATTACGAAGACATATCTTATATGGATTATGAATGAGAGTTTGAACGTGTAACAGATCAGTAAAAAAACTTATTAATGAAACAAAACTAAACTAACACAAAGTTGGATAATGTTACATTTTCACATGAAAATAACCTTTATACATAAAAAACACGCATCAACTGACTTACTCAAATAGTTTCTCTCTCTTCGATTCATCGAATTTAAACAATGGTAGTGTGGAAATCAAGCCCATACGTGTGGCGATTCTTACTTGTTCTTCCTCAGTTAACTGAGACATAGGTCGTGAGACACCAGGAGTAGGATGCATAATTGGATCATTCTCCTAATACATACACGGCAAATATTTACAAAATGATTTTTTTTACACATATTACGCTTTATAACATATTTTTTTAAACAAATTACGAATAAGCACGCAAGCAATCATATAGTGACATTCATTATGTGAATTATCCATAGTAGTAAGCGCAACAAAATAAAGTTCTTTCCCACAACTGAAGTAAAGCTTCATAATCCCACAAACACAAGTCAGTTGTGAATAACGTTAGATCCGGCATACGTGTATCAGTGCATGTTGTTAAAAACTACACCAATGGTGGGAAAAATCAACGAGCCCGAAAGAGAATGAGTGTTAATAGCAATAATATCAACAGTAGTGTAGAACAAAACGTTCGAAAGTACAGGTCAAAAGGATTTAATGAAATGAAACTAATGAATGAAAAGTGTAGGATAATACTAGGCTTGACATTCTGATGGAGATCAAGTATAAATATGTAGGCGTAAATGGCGCCTAACATAAATTACTGATTACGATTCCTCTTGGACCTTAACAAAGTCGGAATCACTTGGCATGGCTAGATTTATAATCGATGGCTAAGTAAAATAGTGCCACAAGTTTGTTTGACTATCTTTACATAGTTTCCGACTTAATTCCACGCTAGTCAAAACCGTATGTCCAGCCAGCAGAGTCGACGAATGTTGCCAGCTTAGTCATTTGATTTGCCATTTCTACTAAGCTCGATTTCAACAATATTCTTTCGTGATTTCGGTACATGCAATAAATTTGTCGAAGCACCTATAACCAAACACAAACAACATAAGTATACTTGATGCATTTATGGATCATTTAGAGTAGTAGGGTGAACCGGTATACAATATATTTTGCATGTGACCAATAGATAAAAGACCTAGGCCGTTTGTGATGCAAGTCGGCAAAAGTCAAGCACGCTTGTATCTTTTCAGAGGTTTCCTCAGATATTGGTTTACCAAGGTTTGAAGGATTCTTGGGTCAAAGGCAATAGTCAGCTGACCCAACGATTCCATTTCTTGTAAATGAATCAGATGGAAAAGAGAAACACTACGTTATTAACAACCACAGAAAATAATTATGTGAAATGACACTGTTTATTCAGATTCGTAATAAGATAATTGTAGGAAACAATAATCACGATCAATATTCGGGAAGTTCAGTGTAGAGAGAAATACTATGACACCAGAAAAAACCTGGGTAGTTAAAGGACCAAACTGGGTGAGGAACGGAAGTCAATAAGATGGTATATCAATGGTAATAGACGAAGACTTTGTTTGAAATATCCAATTATTGACCTATACTGATTAATAGGTTTCTACAAGATTTATAAGAATAATCACTGGTTTTAGCAATAGCTTATACAAAAAAATAGTCCCTCCTATGTTTACATTTGTTCTTCATTAATTTGTTAACCCACACAACTTTCTACAGTCGTGATGCAGCGCATGCAGTACATGCCCTAAACAACTTAGCCGATTTACTCTTACGGGATTTTTAGTGGAAGCTCTAGGTATAATATGTTACTAAACAAAAACATTCCTATCTTGTATTTATTCTTACTATTCTATGAGTGAATAATTAGATTCCGGCTAAACTGTCACATATAAGCATTTATTTGAATCTATAAGGTTATAGTGAAGGATGAATAGTTGAAAGATATGGTACCTAAGAGCTTTCTAAGTTACTAGTCCAGACTATAATTCTAAAAGGAGAATGCAGAACTGATTGGATACCTCGAAAAGAAACTAATAGATTTCCAGCCCATATATAGCAAATTACGTTCGGATAAACTAAGATATAACCCGTATTTTATTGTCATTAGGCTGTTAACAAAACAGCTATGTAGAAAGCTCTGAAACAGATTGAGTGTGAGCTACAAAGATGACACTTAAATTGCTGAACTGACAGCTAGACACTGGATTTTGGATCTATATTACTTTAGTAGAATATAAGCGTTGAGTTAGAATATTCGAGTTTTTCACACATGTAACATAAACGAGTTTTCATTCATACAGACTTTTGGCTAAGTAAGAAAACAGACATGAATCAAAAAGAAAGAGAACTGCCAACTAGTTCAACTTTACAAAATAGGTTCTTTAAATGAAGGGTCGAGAAATTATCACTATTGGTAATATGTCTTACTTCAGCAAGTAGACGCAGAAATAAGATTTTTAAATAAAACCAATATTCGTGGACTGTAAACACCGTACAATAAAGTTTAGCACTTTAAGGAACTGTAAGAAACATCTGGGGTCGGTATCACTGATAAGTATATGGTGTATACAACAGCACGCTAGAAAGCGAATGAAGAATAAGTCACATATAATTGGTTTAGACTAAAGAAAATCCGAAAATAACTTCAAAACATCTTAAAACTGAAGACTATTTGAGCCCTAATATTTCCCAATATAAAAACAGCTCAATGTGATAAACGAATCAATTGGACATCTCGTCAGTTATTCTTATTACTGATTCAACTTGTAGGACCTTTGATATGATATTTTATGCAGCATAAACGTCATCCGAAATCTAATTCCGCTTAAGATAGTATTTGTGCACTTACGTACTACTACAATGGTGACCCAAAGCGAACACTTTCGAAGGCTATTTTCAAAATTTCTTTTCATTAAAAGTGACAACTACAAATAACTGCATTCTGATTGCTTATTGTAGACAACATAGACATTATTATTTATAAGATCAAGAACTTACAAAATATGGGGGTAAACGACTACGTCGTCTCTCAGTTTCTAGTCGTAATTGCGCGTCACTATTCCCAACATCAACTGAAGAATCGATATTTCTGCATCTCAGGCAATTGCCCATAGCTATACTGTTTGATTTTGCATTAGGTCGGTTGTACCATCGGTCCGTCCCCACAGCTGTTTATCTGACCTTGAGGAACCAATGGTCATTTAGTGTCCAAGCTATAAACACTGTTCAGTGGATATGACAAACTGAATGTTGCTTGATATCTCAATTATTAACTGAAGTCAAAACATATTGAAAGATATAAATATCTGTTATGATCACGGAACAGCACTTATAATAGTTCTCATTAGTACCACTGAGCCCGAAACTGATATCAAACCATTATTTCCGTGAACCAGGACAATATGCCATCAGTATTATCAAGGGGGCTTCTAAACCGGGAAGTGGTTCCACTGCAACGGAGTCTCGCTGGTAGTCTGTTCCACATAGTTGAGTATCGGAAAAAGAAAAAAAACTTCTGAAGTAGGTTAGTGAAGGTGCTCGTAAACGATAAAATATTCGCCTTATTGCATTGGTTGTGGGATGAAATAATAGAATACGAAGGGGTCGATGCCAAGGAATAAGAAATACCGCTTGTAAGCCGGTAGATAAAGAAGAGATCTAATTTGATACGCCTGATCTAGATAGGTTCTAACTTGAGTTGTTGACATCGAGGGTGGTAATACATGTTGTGGGAATACCCCAAAACAGCAATAGTGAGTGTTCTTTGAACATCTGTAATGATAGTGGGCCCCAACCACTCAATCCTCGAAGCCAAACACGAGACATCTGAGAAAATATATTCGACATTTAACGCGGGGAAAAACCCAACGATAAGGGAATCGGGAGGAATAAATTCAATAAATTTAAATTCATTGAATAGCAAAGCTCGGCCTTGTAGGCGTGATCATTCTTGAGTAGCCTATACCTTTTATTCATACTAAATATACTGTTCTATCTCCGGCCTAAATATGTTCATCATATATTGACGACTGTTATGATACGATGAGTCAGGGTAGACGGTGATGTGACTTCCACATAAAACATTATAAATTAGGCAGTTATATCACTACAAATCTACAGTTTTAAGATTAAGTCTATTATCAGAGCGGTGCTAATAACGAAGTAGACCATAATTTTACCAGGTCACCAAGTGAGAACCTCTACTCCACACATAAACATTTGTTTATCTTTCCAAAACGAATGGTGCCATTTTCCCCTGCCAAGTGAGTCTTTTGGCTATGATTGTGTCCTAAGGTGTAAAAGCTTCGTCTATAATTAATTAAGTTGTTTTTACAGTGAAGGTCTCAACCTTTTGTTTTCAGTACCTCTCACTTTAAAAGTTTGAGAAACACTTCAAGAAATTAGTTTTGACTTTTTCAACATCCAGAGAGGAACTACTTGTTGTTCTCCCCGTGACCTCACCTAGCAATTTTAATAGCACAAACCAAACATCGTTTATGGCAGATTTACGTTTTTCCGATTGATGATGGAATTCAATGTGACTACTGCAACGAGTGATATAAAAACATGTGCATCACACTTACATCAACCACATATAAAAGTTATTTCAAGGCACTACCACATTGGCTGTGAGTGTATGCTGCTCTATAAAGCCTCTGATGACTCTTCAGCTGCTAAACACAGCTAGAACGACTAGCTCCGATAAACAGCCAACAGCAGATTAGCAGCTGTCAGATTTCAAGGAAGCAGAGAGAGTTGCCATGAGTCTAGATACGAATCTGAGTGAAACCATCAAGTTGAACCACTTCAGATCAGTAAGAGTGATTATAAGAAAAAGGAAATAGCACGCAATAGTCAAGTCGCAATGATCTCGACAGTTTCAGTCACATATATCTTTAACAACGCAAGCCGGACCATACAAGAAAGAAGCCGAGTCATTGTAAAGGATTTGGTCAGGAAACAAAACAAAGTCAGTGATTTACCTACAGTAGAAACAAGAAAATTAAGGCGAAAAAGATAGCAAACTATATGGCTGTTGCTAAATCAGACTGCAAGAATGATAAACGTTTAGGACAAAAAATCCAATGTTTGTTCTAAAGGATCATGCAGAGATATTGGTCAACTTTTGCAAGAGTCTTTCAAAAAAGAAAAAAATGTCAAGTCTAGGTACAATCCAAGCAGGAACAGTAGCAGATAAAAAATGGATTCCGAAATACGCAGGCCAGCCGCCTCCTAAAAGTTGATTTTACTTCTGCCGATGAAATCAACGTTGTGTTGGAAAACTCATTCAAACTGACTGGATCCGGGACGTATGTCTATGTGGATCTCGGCTTTGTGATAGGCATAGAAAACCCTGAAGTTACTGCCATCTAAAATAATCAGTTAACGTCAGAAGTATGTGATGGTGAGATTCAGTTGCTTGGTGTCTTGCTTTGTAAGGCTGGCAGACCAAACAGAGAGGGGAGTGAGGTTATCGTGTACATGAATAACACCTTAACCATATGAGCTGTCGATACAGTAGCACACGACTCCGGGAAATGTAAACCATTGTGCCGACGGCTACTTTGTAAAGGACGATATATTAAATTAGTTGCACTATATCGCAGTCAAGAATGTGTAGCGGGTGACTTCCTCCTAAATAAATTTACATCCTGGTCAAACAGGCGTAAAAGTTCGATAGCATATGTTTTATTGACCCCTTGTAAATTAGTGAACCTTAGAAGTGAGGTCATCAAAAACATCGTTCGATTACAAATTGTCAGATATCACAGTCGCCCTAGCTCTATTCCAGAAAGTTAGAGATCCCATCAGATATGACATACAAAACTCTTAATCTCTCTTGAACTTAGTCCTCACACTGAGTGATGATGTTAGTTCTATTATGTTCCTCTCACCTGTAGGGAGGATCCATCATGCTGTCGTCTTATTAAATTCATGGCTGAAGTGGTCTGTCAGACAGTTGCGCCAGCACTTCTTAATGTATGGAAGGCAGACACATAGGCGATCAAATCTGTAGCATCGAACGAAAACTGGAAAATCGACTTCGAAGCATCAGTGGAGGGGGAACAGACTCATTTCCAGGAGTTATACAATCGAGGAACTCAACTATTTATACAGCGCCGAGGAAGAAAACGCACAACTATCCCGGAATAAACCTGAATATTTGACGTTTCTTAAGACAAAAGAAAAAACATTTGGCACGTCGTCATCAACCTTGGTACACCGAATACGATGAAACGCTATAAGTCGATTTAAAACAAGAGTATAGGCACATCACATTCAGCTCAGCCAAAATCTGAAAACCAGTTACTCCAATTATTAATCAAACTGCCGAAGAGACTGTTCTCGTATATAAATTACAGAACAAGAAGGCATCATTGTATTCCCAACTCAATTACTGAAGAGCGTGTATCTCAAGCGACAGAGGAAGACCAAGACAGAGCAGACCCCTTGAAACTATTTTGGGACAGTTTCCACTCAATAGCCTCTTGTTAACGAAGAACTAGAACCAGATACAAAGTCACGAAATCGACTGCCCACCGCGGCCTTGATAAAAACGAAGTTCTAAGAACTTTTGACAATTAAGACTCCGAAAAATAAACAGGGCCGGATGAACCACAGCCAAAAGACCTGAGACTAATTTCACAATATACTTCTGCCCCTCTAATTACCATATTTAATAAGTCAACTGACCAAGGTGATTTACCTAAGGGTTTGGAGAATGCGACCCTCACTCCAATACATAAAACAGAATCAAGACGACTCCTATCAATCTGCGGACCAGTCAGCCTCGTCAGCGTTGTAGTTAAAATACTGGAAGTAATAATCAAGAGGGTTATAATCACACTCGTAGAAACGGACGACTAGTGAAACAGAGAACAGTATGGTTTCAAGAAATGATAATCTTGCACAACAAACCCCATATGACAAGAAAGAAATGTACATAATTTCTAGTTAGTGGGAAATCGGTCGACATTGTCTACGTTAACTTCGGTAAATTATTTAATAAGGTGCTGAGAAAAAGATTGTTCATATAGCTGGAAAATCTAGAAGTTGCTAAGCGTCATGTAAAGTGGATTAAGCATTTCTTCGTAGACTGCAGATGGAAGGACAGAATGAATTCCAAGTGCTCTTTCCGGAAATTGGTACTTAATGGAGGACCACGAGGCTCTGTCCTAGGTCCTTCACATCTTTTCTGTATGTAAATGAACTTTTAAATATAACTGTCTTCAATGCCACTATACACTGATGGTGTTAAAATCTGGCGACAAACAACAGGAGACCTAGATTCATGTGCGCTCCAGGTGGATTTAGATATTCCTGCGATCTGGTCCACAAAATGGCAGATGCCTATCAAAGCGACTAACTCTACATTAACTTTGGAGATGGATATAAATAAACACAGCATAATAGGAGAGTCGTTGCCCGCAGTTTTGTTTCACAAGAAGCTTGAGGTGATAGTCAGGCATGATCTTAGGACAGTAGTCCACTGCCTCGAGGTCACAACCATAGGTTTTATAACCATATGGGCTTTAAGGCGGACACTTACCAAGCTAGGCATTAATGTATTTGCTACAGCTGATACGATCTTAATGAGGTCCAACCTTAAAAACTCCGTCCAAGCCTCAAAACCCTTTTTAAGCGGTGACCCAGACATCTTGGAAAAAGTACAAAATGTCGTCACCTGGGTTATCCCAGAACTCTGGGGTGAACCGAATAAAGAGCGGCTTCAGAAGATAAACCTCTTCGCCATGTCCTTACGCAGGCTAAGAGGTGATTTGAATTCGATGTATAGAATACTTAGTGATACAGGATACACAAGATATAAGGTACATAATATATATGACACACAAATTGGTCTCTGTTTCAACACTAACAGGAAATATTCCTGCACTACGGATAGACAGTACTAAGATGTAAGGATGATAGATAAGAACTCCGAAATGACCTGAAGAAATTATTCAAATGGTCTTAAACCTGGCAGTTGTCGATAAATACTTCCAAGTGTGTTGTGATGCCTATCGGTCATCAAGGTACAGATACATACACGATGAATAACACTGAGCTACCTGTCGTCCAGACATATAATGACTTAGGAGTCATCGTTAGCCAAGACTTAAAGACTACCGCACACTGCCGTGCGATATCCGCCAAAGGTTTTAGAACCTTATGGTCAATACGTAGGGCTTTTAAACATGCCGACGCTAAAACGTTTCTGAGTTTGTATACAGTGTTCGTACGTCCTAAACTTGAGCATTGCATACAAGCGGCTAGCCCCTGATTAAAAAAGACAGCGTGCTTCTGGAAAAGATTCAGAGAACAGAAACTAAGCGGATTCTCTGAATAGCGAAGCTTTCGTATGATGCTTGACTGACCAAGCTGAACCTTTTCCCGATGTCATATCAAAGAACTAGAGGCGACTAGATTACAGTTTTCAAATTTCTCAGTGATAAATTTGCACCTGATATGACATCATTTTTCTTGTCTTCCAGAACAGAGAATTTACGAGGACACTCAGTTAAAGTTCACAAGCCCAGAACAAATTAGTTTTCAGCTGACTGTCGACTTTCCCATCGAATCATCAACGAGTGGAATTCATTACCTCAGCACGTGATTGAGTCTCCATCAGTAGACTTTTTCAAAACAAAGTTGGATCAAATAAGAGAATAGGACTAACACAGGCCATCAAGTCTCCTGTCCCTGCCAAACTGAAGCTGAAACTAAGATTTTAGTCCCGGGCATTACAATGTTGTCGTTACTACGGTTAGCACGGTGTTCGTTCAGTAGTGGCTTCGTAACGTCATTAGCACGATCCCTTAGTGGTCAGCCGAAGAAATGGTACTTAGTTTTTTCATTCGCATTGTGATTAAGATGAAGCGTGAATATCACATTCGCTTGGAAGAACGGTCGTAATAAGACCGTATGCGCGAAAATAGGTGACAACTTATTGGACGTTGTGTTAGATAATGATGTTGATATTGACGGGTTCGGTATGTTGCCTTACATATATAATCACGTATCTAGGCGCTTGTGAAGGTACACTAGCATGTTCAACCTGTCACCTCATCTTTGCCAAGGAAGATTTCGATAATCTGCGTGATCCCTTAACGGAAGAAGAACAGGATATGCTAGATTTAGCCTATGGCTTGACTGACACGTAGGTTTCCCATTGTTATGGAACACGTAGAACTGCCATGTTCATAAATATAATTTTTTTCCTACCCAAAATGTGCTCAAGAGAATCAAATGTTGATGTGAGACTAATTTATGGACGACCTTTGGGCAACGTTAAAGTAACCTTAAGGGTGTTTAAATAATAACCAGGACCAGATGATGGATATGAACAGGTGTGAGGAATTAGAATTAGGATTTACAGTTGATGGTTAATGTTCCCGAGCTCCCAATTTTGGGGAAGCCGCTACATCAAACTTTGAGTAAATGGCACCAAAACCCAAAAATTTCCCCAGACCTGGGCAAATTCCCTAAAATTTCCACAAACTTGGGAGATTGGGTTAGGAATTTGATTTAGGGTTTTCATCACAAACGTACATCAGCTATAATGCTAAAACGCCATTTAGTCAAATAGGTGAATGAATTTTACGCCAAAATCCAAGACCCGTTTGTATATGATTAGTTCGTCCATAAATTATAGTCTTACTGATACTGACCTAATATATATTCAAAAAGATTATTGAATATACAATTTTAAGTCATCTCAATACAATTTTTCGGTATTAGATTAGTGTTTCTGCATAATGACACTATTCCTAAGTAGCTTCGTGGAACATGTCAGTTTAATTCAAGCTTAGTGGAAAAATGATAAGCGGTTTAAGATTACTCGCATCGGAGTGTGATTGAAGAACTGTGAAACATGTGGGTACCCAAGTACTTTGTCACGAATTTGAACTTTGCTAAATTCGTCGAGTTTCATGCAAATCACTTGCTAACTTCCTACACATTTGGTCTTTTTTCAGATCACGATTAGGTTGTCAGGTCAAAGTCAATGAGGACATGGATGGTATAGTTGTGAACGTTCCAGAGTCAATATACGATGCACGTGCGTAGGATAGTGTAAGTTTTTGAGTATCATTACCAGAGTTGGACTTCATAGTTTCAAATAAATTGAGCATTGGGTAGAACGTTGCTAATATAATCATAACTCATTGTTATATCTCAGTAATTAAAAGCTTAAATCTCTGACATTTCGTGATTTATTTTAAGCCATTTCTTCAGATTAAATGAATAAATAACCCATCCAAATTAACACAAGCTTAAATCGTAAAAAGAGGAACAGTGTAGACATTTTAAACCTAGTCAAAATCATCATAGATCTCATTATAGTAGTTCTCAGTCAACATGATTCTGCATGAGATATTACTGTTTGCATTTGTACATAAGACGGTTGATATGAAAAATTTGAAATTTGTAGTATGAAAGACTGTGTTAACTGTGTGAAAAATGATGATTCAAATATAGTTGTTTAGATAAGTAGTTGGATGAATATCAGGTCTTTTCTACTGAGGGGAGAGTATGCAACGCTTCGGGTACTCACTTATCTTTAATTGGAGAGACCTTTCTGAATTATTGTGATATTTCTAATGTCGATTTGGTGGTTATTGAAAACAGCATGTACTAATACTGTTGATTTAGTTTGTAGATTTTTCAGCTCTGCAGAGTTATTAAAAGGGCCTTTTATGTAGGTTGGGTGTTCCGTTGCATAAGTTTAAGTTTCTTGAGAAGTTTTTTCAATCGATACAACCTAATCAGTAGAAAACGTTTTGTGTGAATGTAAACGTTATCTTTTCCTTAATTAAAGCATTTCATAGAGTGTTGGCTGTTTTATAGAAAGTTCTAACTGTGTGTATTCTCAAAATAATTTGTAATTGTTTTGATGTACTGTGGCAGTAAGGTAAAACTGCTGTACTAGTCCAGTATATTTCACTAGAATTCTTATTTAAAGATGGATCGCTTCGTCTTGATGTATTTTCAATCATATTCGGAAAATCGTTAAATCTTAAAATGTTTACTGTGTCCTTTACTATTAGCTTCTCTTGGTAAATGGCTGATTTTCCTTGTTAGTTTTTTTTGGAAAAATGGTGCTAAATTTGCATTGCTTCCTCTGTTTCATATATAGATTGATATTCGTTCTTCAACATCAAATTCTATCGGACTGTCCTTTAGACGTTAGTCTTCGAAGCGCTTTTAGGAATGTGTAAAGTTGAAGTATCTGAAGATTGCGTGTTAAACATCCATCGTACTTACCTGATATTTTGTCACATATACACTTGTTGTAACTGTTTAGGTAGTTTTCGGGTTGCGTTTTATCGCTATTATTATTTATTTTCCTATCTAGTCTACTTGTAATTAGTGTTTCATTATTCAACTGTTTAAAACCTTTTTTGTATAGAAAATTTAATAATAAATAAACCTTTATAGACAGGGATTTCTGACTTTTTTCCGTCCTTTTGGTTGTATATATTGCTACGTTTTTGTTATTCATCTAATTGTCAGTGAATTTTGCTCTTACCACGTTAATTGTCTTAAGATTTGCTTAGTGATACTCTCTATGTGTGATACTCATGTATTCAATGTAAGCTTATCATTTTGTAATATGTCGATGTAAAATGCTTCTATATAGTCATGCAGTTCGTACCTCATTTAGTAAAGTGAAATATTTAACTAATTGTGAATCTATATTTCATAGTATTATAGCTAAATTGAGCTCTTTCACTTCTAAGAAGTATAGTACAATAATTGGTTGGATCAATATTAATCTAAGGATTCAGTCACAAAATGCCAGTGATAGATTTGGATATCTTATTTCTACTCTGATGAATTCATTCAGCTTGTAATACTCGGAACCATTTGATGGTATCTGAAGAAGGTAAAATTCTAAACATGTTCATGTACTAAGGATCTGTCAACCATAATATTTGAAGAAACACTCGGATAACTCGTGATTAATATCCTTCCCAGCATTACTACTCACTGCTACGACCAACATCCTAATCATCATAAAATTGTTTTAGCATATCAGATTGGGAGATAAACTTACTGATCTAACCACATACGGCAACAGCACGTTAGTGGTTGTCGAACAGAATTTTGCTGAGGAAATATCCTGAATCATGACAATGGAGTATTTCCTGATATATAGATAAGATCCAAGTATGCATAGTCGTTTGCCGTAACGTAGGTTATACCGTGAGTTACAAAGTGTTTCAGTTGTCGGGAGTTTTTTCGAGTTCGGTAAATAAATGTAGGTTTGTTTAATTGAATAAGTAGAATGCCGTCCAACAAATGAAGTGTATCGATAAGATACGGTCGACATTCCAAATCCACAAACCTAATGACTTAGAACGTTTTCACGTTACTCCCAATAAATGAACAGGAAAGCGATAAACTGCAACTAGTTGGTTTATCACATAAACCTTTTGCCATATGATTAATATGTGATGACATTCCGAAGAGATTAAAACTCATAAAATAATTACCTACAAAAATTCTGAAAGAATATTCAGAATGGTTATATGCACTGGTTGTTGAGAAAAGTAAATTTAATAAAGTGTGGAGTTAAGTTTTAGTCGTTATCCATTGAAATGTATTAGAAAGAACATCGCTGTTGAGATATGTCAGCTTGCTTTTCAGCAGTAAATTTTGTTGGTTGTCGACACGTCCCATCATATCTATTTTGACAGTCTCGTCCCTTGACCTAATTTTTGGTCTCATTTATTCATGATCTTTCTGGTTGGTTGACAAGTTAGATTTATTTCATCAATATAATTATTGGCCTTAGTATCAAGCTTCTAAGAATTATCTGGGTTTTTTGTTTAGGACTTCAACATTTTCCGACAAGCGTATACATTATAGTATCATTGTGTCACTTACAAACCATCGACCTTACCGCATTTAGTTTATCTGTCTTATGGGAAAATGGAATGTAGGTGATACCAAATACAGATTTTCAACAAAGCCTTGCCTAGCATATAGTTTTCACGTGTATAAACAAAATTGGTTTGAAGTTTTTGTCTGCTGAATAAGGCTATCTGTTTATCGTCGTTATAACAGATTAACTTAAGTTATAGACAATTAATATTACGTTAGAACAATGAGAAGATGGAGTTGATCTGAAAAATGTGATGTATTTAAGCCAATTCGAACAATTTGGTCACACGTACACTTGTTGGGGTATTTTCTATGAAAATTAATAAAGGTCAATTAAATGAAAGTTTAAGTAACAAAGAGGCGAGAAACAATTTCACATCATATAGAAAGAATTTGTCGCGTTATCCTAGGCCATAGAACGACTATAGCGCAAATACATCGCATTTTTCAGATCAACTCCGTCTTTTCATTGTTCTATCGAAATTTATAAAAGGAACTAATTGCTTTAAATTAATATTACGTTATTATTTCATATTCCGAACTTTTCGAATTCTAAAGATTTTGTAAAGCATTTGTTACCGTATTTTTTGCCTTAAAGTGTAGTACTTTAATTAAATAAATAGCATGAAGTAAAATTATTACAATCATTTAGAAAATGACAAGGTTGGTAAACCTCGTTAAACACTGTCATCAATTCAGTGGGGTGTTCTAGAAGAGTCTTTCAGGGTTCTACAACTCAAGAATAGTATTCATGTTCAAACAGTTCTAGACATTCCCAGACGATAACCATTCGTAATGGTATCTTATCACCCGGTTGAAGAATTCACCCGACGCATGAATAAAACTTTATGTGCTCCTTACAAATTAGCGTCTTTACCACTCTCTTATAATATAGTGCCATGATTTTAGAAACATTCGCTAATGAATATACGGTCTAGTGATGAACATATCCAATACCTTGTTTGGATAATGCAATGTTTTTTAATCAGTCTTCCTTAATCTTTAAAAACAGACATCAGGTCGTTCAAACCAGAATACGATACCGTCCGTGGTTAGGCATCTTCGGTTTAGTATAGTTTCAGTGGCTCGAGCTTTAAAAGGCTACTGATAAATTGTTTATAGATACGATATCACCCACACATTATTTTGATGACTCCTTGATTCTTTCTATTAAGGGCTGGGATAGATAACAATACTTCCCCATAGATATGCCGCTTGGACTAATATAGTACATCCCAACTCTATTTTTCGCCTTAGCAGTCTGTCCAAAATGATCAACAGTTCGTAAAGTTGCTGAAAACCATTACTTGTAATCCAAGCATTTTGTTAAGGTATTAGCGAATTTACTCGGTGTTTTAAATGGGATCAATCTTTTACGGTTTTCAGTGAGTCAGGTGACAGTTAATTCCAAGTTCGGGTGAGCTTGAAGATTATTGACCACACTGTGTGGATGAAAGGATTCTTCAACCTTTAAAAAAAACGGAAGTGAATCTCCTGACTATTAAGAACGGATCGGATTCTAAACAGTTCTGTGAATATATACTTCATTTGTAGCTGATCTCAACATAACCTTTGGCCTAGACTACGTTTACAACGAGATTACGTAAGGTATCATATTGATTTTTCGAATGACTAAATGTTATAAATCTCCTTAGTTTCGATTTAGCTCCTGCAGAAAACCAAAACGAAATATTTGGGCTCATATGTTTTTTTCTATCCTAAACAGATTTTGAATGTAACATAATTGATTACTTAGACCTAGACTATTATGTTGGAATAATATTCTTGATAAAATTCCATTATTTGTAGACAGATATAAAGTTGCACAAGTCTGCCAAATCAATCCTTACGAAACCTCTTAAATCAGAAAATCCAGAAGATTTTAAACAAAAACGAAAGAATAAAAATCTTTCCAAATTAAAAAAATATAAAAAGCGTCAATTGAAAAAGAAACATTCAAGTAGACAAATAACAAATGAACGAAAAACAAAAACATCCAATGAAACACAAGAAGAGGCTCTAAACTATCTAAGAATATGGCATGAAGATTATAAAAACTGGAAATTTAAAAAACTTCTACAATCCTGGTTAATAAAAAATGCACTAGATAGAAAAATGGTGAGTTGACTTATGCTTAGTGTGTGTGTGTGTGTGTAGTAGTAGTAGTAGTAGGCGATAATGGCAAACAAAAAATACCTCATTTTCTTCTCAGGTATATCTGTGAAATACGTCTCAGATTGTGACTTTCATTTAGTAGATTTTAGGTCGAAGAAGTAGCTTCAATTTTTCCACGTGAGACCTCCCATGGCCAAAGGTGTATTTTAAATGTTGCTAGTCGTCATGAATTCATAAAATATTGTAAATGTATGCGGCTTAGTAATATCGTGTGTTGATTACCTTACTATTGTTGTGTTCATCTCTCTATCAGTATGGTAATTGTGATAAGTAGTAAGTTATCCTCAATCTAAATTTAGTACTGAATTATAGTAGGCATAAAATCAGCGTAAATATTGAACGATACAAGTATTAGTCATTTCTAGGAACTTCAAAGTGAAATTGTGTCGAAATAATAGATTCTGAAAAATATGACACATCAATCATGTTAAATTCATTTTTCGACATTAACCGGTTGTTAAATCATTTTGAGTTCTATAAATACTTTCAATTTTGTTGATAAATTTTCTATTCACTATTGTTTCCTATCAAATAATGCAAATTAAACAGGTTCCTAGTTCAGAGTTCCGAATATTTAAACATTATATTAAAGGACTAATCGGATGTGCTCGACAGAATTTATTAAATCAATGCTCAAAGATAATGGAGGAACAAACTGATGGGTTGGAGACATGTACGGAACTTGTGAGTAGAGAAGATATGTCACCAGACAATATAATTGGTCAGCAGAAGTCAGGTATGTTTTGTCGATAATAAATCCAAAGATTATCTAATATATTATGCATACATATGGTGAGAAATCTTAGGTTGATGCACATGATTAATTCATACATAGCGTTGGTGATCCATTAGTTTAGTATCATGCATTTTTAAAATTCAAACTGTCAGTTATAAAACCGAATTCTTAAAGTGTGGACATGAACTAAAATGAAAAAAGACAGTGAAACTATGAGATAGTTAAGTACTAATGATTTTTTTCAAATAGTTTATGTATCTTTGCTCTTATATTCAGAATAAATGATTTGAAAACCGTCTGTAAGGTGTAAATATAACTTGCATAACGCACAGTTCTACGCTAAGCTCAGACAAGTGGTTTGTAACTTAAATAATCGTCCACATGTTTTCAGATAATGAAGACCACTCTATGGCATTCATATTCCTTGTTGAAGACTCAGTAAGTGTAGTGTGAATTCTTACCAAGTACGGCCTAATATATTGGGCTTTGAAACCCACCTTGTGGAAGTACTACTGATACTTAGTCATAGATTATTTTAGTATGCTATTAGATGAATTTCACCTAGTTTAATGAATTAAAGCTAAATAATAAGATGCCAAAAATAATTTAACTTCATACTTGCACATTTCCATAAATACTAAATGTAATATTTGACTAAATAGGTTGTTCACTAACCTGGCTGTATTGTTTTTTTTCTCTTTACAGAATATTCAACTGCTAGAAAACGTGCAAAGAAAATATTTGCAGTTTTATCAAAGACTTCTGATGTTCAATAAATTTTTACATAATACTAAGATTTTTAGTGCTATTAAATCCTTTGTATGCATCAACCACTATTATATACTTCGTAATTATTCATATCATGATGTTACTAAATAAACGTATAGTAGTTCATGACTCTATATACATGTAAGTGAAGCGGCGTCTCAGTAGTTCAGGCGTCCAAACTTTAGCCACTAAGTTGCACGTTTGAACCTCACTCCACCTATTTCGTCTTAGGCAACTGACTTGTATCACTATTTCTCACGCTTAAAATGCATCCCACAGCAAAGTCTACAGATTCTCATCTGGTTGATGAGTTAATAATGTGATATCTTGTAAAAATATGAAGTACGATGAAAACACACAAGTAATTTGGTACGTTTTACAACTCTTAGTAATATGTATTGCTGAGATATGGAGCCAAGTTCTGATTGTGTAAACCTATTTATCTTTGAAAATCCCCATTCTCTATCAAAGTAAAACTGATTTAAGATGTGACATATCCCGTTAAAACAATTTACTACAACAGATGCACATCTTTCCCTGTGAATAGTATAAAAAATCTAAACATGGTTGTCTAATAAACGAAGATTCACTTTGCGCTTTCATATGGCTAATGCAAATCAAGATCACAAATAATCTCTATACCAAGAAACACTTAGTACTTGTTAAACAACAAAGTCATTTCCATAAATTATAATAGATTTACAAAAGTTTATATCTATGTTTGAAAATGCTAGAAATTTGTAAACAATCATGAAACCACACAATTTGTCGTTTGGATTGCTACTGGAAATCATTGTCTCCAGCTTTTTTAAACTTTATCTTAGTGTTTTTCGCTGAACTACTACTTTTATTGATAAGTATAAAATGAAAGCGAATGTACAATGGCAAAAGGTACTTTTTTACAAGGTCGTTGTACAAATCATCGTTGATTCCTCCTCATGAGTACATTTCTTCTGCTTCTAGCCATGCGCGCTTTGATTCGTTCACGTGAAATTTCTGCTCCTTCTTTAGCTAGGTTTCGTAAACGATCATTTTCTTGTACTTGTGGTGCTTTTCCTTTCAATCGAAGGTAACGTACTAGATACCTGGTTAATATGAGTGTCAAACCGTAGCGTAATGGTACTGCCAGTTTGTAGAATACAATGGCTGTAGCCAGAGTATTCACAGTACCCCCACCTAAATGGAGGGGTTTACTTAGCCATCCAGGTGCGTTGAGACTGTGAAGAATATCCAGCAAATTGATCCCACTGTAAGCAAAACAGTGCAAAAAGAGGATTTTTCATTAGTAATATCAATCCAACTAAATAAATAAAAGGTTAAGTACTTGTATTTAGGATGTATTTACGTCCACTATGGGATTTGAATCGACAACTGCATCTCTGTGCTAATGTGATATGACAACTCGAACTGATGTGCGTACGCACGTACGAAGTTCTACGTTGTTACTGACTGACTGTATTTACGTAAAGGTTACAGGTGTCATTCAGTTACATAAACCAAAATATATTAAGTGAAGTTTGAACAAGTGACGCATTGATATTTGCATCTCAGTTATCGTTATCTTTAGGTCTTAAACTAGCATTGTAGTCTGTAACAAACAGTTGTAGATGGCTTTCAAATCCAATAAATTTAGGGTTGGTTGGTATGGCCATTCTTTAATACCTGACAGAGTTGATGTTGTCGATCAAGTCGTAATATGACTTTTAGCCTTTTCTAACTCATGTTGAAGGATGGGTTATGATTTCGCCTTTACAAATGTGCTGTGAACTTTTAAAATATGTGCAACTCTCATAAGACCTAAATAAGTAACTATCAGGATCATCATATTAGGTGCATAAAAACACGGATGTGAATAAGTGATATAAATGTAAAAATACAAATCGAGGAACTTGAAGCTTTAAAAGTCTATAGTTAGATCAAGTACATCACATGAATTTCGCAGCACTACTTTACAAAGAAGGAACCTGGGGGTGAACACCCAGTTGAAGGATACTAACTTGACGTGGTGGTTAAATCTGTATATTAAGGAGTCCCACAGATTGGAGCGCTTATCACTAGCTTAAGTTCTCCCACTCAAGACGTTTCTTAAAAGTAATGAGAAGTTTGTAAATAAAAGTAATATATTTGTAATATTCCAATGAGTAGAAAAATTAAATTCTCGAACGTTTCGTAACTCAGTGTAAGCCACTTGTTCAGAGAATAAATAACCGAATTTCTCATTTGCACCAGTCAAAATATCATCTTTTATGGAATCTAGAAGTGCTTCTCATCCATATGCCTACCAAACAAACAAATACTCTTTTGTTCGTCGACGACCTTCCTCATTCTGTTCGTTTTATCTATACATCTTAATGATGTTATCACAGATTTTACTTCTAACGATTACGACATGAAATACCATTTCCAGTCTATCAATCCCATACTGCGAAATACACTGAGGCTTTAAACATCAAAACTAGTATATTTAGCCGTAGATGCACGTTATCTTGGAGACATACAAGATCTATGTTACGTTCATCACTTTAAACCTAATATATGTTTGCAATCTGCTTCATGGGATTCTAAGGTCTTATTGTTTGCTTCTTAGAAGCTAACGCAGTGAAAATACAGACGTATGGAATAAAAGATACTACATATAATTCATAATAATTAAATCTTGACTTGCAAAATGCATCTAATGGTTCGTGGAAAGAAAGTTATAAAGCAATTTTAATCTCATGGTTTAAAGGAAGATAAAGAGTGTATACACCTACGCCATTGTAATGGATTCTGAGCTATGTCGATCACAATTGTGTAGGTACATACACTCTTTATCTTCCTTTAAATCGTGAGATCAAAACTGCTTTGTAACTTCCTTCCTATGAACTAATTCTTTCTTCCTGTATTGTATCCTTATACGCATTCCTTCTTCTATATATTACTACCACTAAAGTAACTACTATGATTTTGGTGATCGTCTTGTTGTGCTAATGAGGTATGGCAACTTGGACCGATGCATATATGTGTCTATTCCTGAATTCGAGGACCCACATTCGCCATTTCTCGGTATGCTGGCAGGAAGTGGAAGACGACCTAATCCATCTCCAAATATGAAGGAAATAAATCATTCCAATTTTCCAATCATCCCATCAAATGAAATGATTTCAAGTGATAAGCGAGAAAACTATTTCACTTTTCAACATGATAATTTTTTGAAAGATATCAATCAAAAAATAGGTGGGCAACAACAGTGTAAGCAAAACAAGCGCAGTGATAATAGTAACAATAATTCCCAGCAATATACTCATTGTAGCTTATGTAATAATAATCAAATGGAAGTAGTTGAGAAAAATGAATCCACAGGTAACTTAAATAATGCATTTTACTGTCCTCATCTTTCTGTTTGCATTGACTATTGTCAAAATAACACACGAAATAATGACATAGATGTAGCCACTATTAAGACAACATTGCCATACATACCATCTTCACATTTAGCACAAAGGTGGTCATTTGAGCATAGTAAAGAGTTACATAAAGATATATGCTCTTCATTCTGTTCGTTTTTATCGTGCCGAAAATTGTCAATTGATTGTCAGTCGAGTATGATTTCGGATTGTTTAAGGTCAGTAGATAAACATTCAGTATCTGAGTCTTCTGGTCATTCAATCGAAAGAAATTCTACGCCCCACCGTTGTTGCTACCTTGACGTGGTGGTCGGGCTTGCCTATCGTGATGAAGCAACCGAGCTATACTGGCTGGAACAACCGTTCCTCAAGGTCCTACCATGTCAGACAGGTTGGTTGAAGAGCGGTAAGACTAAAAGCAACAAACCCAAGGTCCGAAGGCGAAGTCGTATTGCTGACTGTACAGAGGTGTGGCAGCAGTAAGGTGTTTCCTTCAGACAACCAGCATGACAGCGATGCTGCCTTCCCACAAGGAGGGGTGGGGTTAGAAAAGGTCGACCCTAAAAATGCACACCTCGCCTTATCCCACGGATATCCGTCTCCGGCGGTAAGGTCTCAATAAGTACGGAGCTAACACAAAAATTACCCATAACAAGGTCGTGTGTGACCGACCTCAAGCAGTTGTCCCTTGGGCACTGCGGTCACGCTCTCAGGTCACTAAGACCACCTTTAATCCAAATTCCTTTTCAGGTACCCCCAGAACAACCCTTCCACGGTGTGGGCAACCGGGAAGTGAAAACCGCCCTCATACCTCTAACAGCACTCAAGACCACTGTATTCATAATCAACCTTCCTCTTCAATTCCTATTATTCCTCCTACATCGACTTTCAACTTTAAATTTCCTCTCTCGGCTTCCACCTCAAGTGTCACCATAGCCAACGATTCTAGTGCGCAAAATACTGTCCCAAGTCTACTGAAACCTCGCTCCAAACTACACATTGGAGCCTTCAACGTACGAACCCTATGTCAAATCGGTCAGCAGGCTTCCTTGGCTAAAACCCTAGAGTCTCTTACCATTGACGTGTGCTGTGTCTCCGAAACACGCATACAGGATTCCAGTGTGGTCATTCACTTGACCTCACCTCGGCAAAACGGAGAGCCAACGAGGTACACCCTTCGTGTATCTGGTGACCCGATGGCAAGTTCTCGTGGACTGGCAGGTGTAGGCATAGCACTAAGCATGAGGGCCGAACAAGCACTGCTAGAGTGGATCCCCGTCAACAGTCGTCTATGTGCTGTTCGGCTAAACGGCTCTGTAAAAACTCGGAAGGATAGGGACACACGTCGTTGCCTTTTTGTTGTTTCTGCCTACGCTCCCACTGACTGCAGCTCAGATGATGTGAAAGATGAATTTTACAGAAAGCTTTCTGAACTTCTTCAGAAAGCTAAACGCTCAGACATAGTACTCGTAGCAGGTGATTTTAATGCTCAGATAGGCAGTTTAAACCAAACAGAAAGGCATTTAGGTGGATATTTTAGTATTCCGACACAGCGAACAGATAATGGTGATCGTCTGCTGCAGCTATGCTCAGACAATCGTTTATTTTTAGCAAACACAAATTTTAAGCATAAGGAGAGACATCGTCTAACATGGCGACCCCCTACACCAAACCAACGATGGACTCAAATAGACCATATTGCC